CTGCGTTCTAACACTTCTACCCCCATTCATGAATCCCAATTGAATGTCCTCCAAAAACCCTTCCTAAATTGGACGTATGGCCTGACCCGGCTGACAAAAATCCGTGGAACGGCCTTAACCATAGACACTGTCATCCACGACCTCCTAGGGTGGATCTACCAGCCAACAAACACAGGTAATGCTCTGATTTGGCGGGATACGCAGGAGAACGAAAAGGGGGTAAAATAACCCTGGTAGATTAGTGGAGGATAATGTCTTTGGGGCCTGCCATACGTTCCCATACTCATACTCATACTCATACTTAACTTTTTTATTAGAAATAAATATTTTTTTCTTTATTGCTGACTTTTATGTGACTTACGTATAATTAAGTATATTTTAATAAAATTCCCAAAATTACCGTTTTGCGGAAATAATTTAAAACTGTTTTTATTACAAATATATATTTAATATTTTATTTTAAGAGTGATAACTCTTACGAATAATTGCCTATATTTTAATTAAAAAATAAGGGTTTTTATTATAGTTCAAAATATCATTAAATAATTTTAAAAAATAATATCAATATTAAAAAAATTATTAATAGATTAAAAGTATAAATACAAAGTTGTTTACAATCTTAAATTATCTTATCAAAATATTCAATAAAATATTTACATTTAATCTAATAACTTCTTCGCCAGGTCCGTGTTTTACACATTTTGTTTTTCTCCTAGTTAATGAAATAATAATTATAATAATAATAAGAATAATAATAATAATAAGTTTATTGTCATCAATAATAATACATGACATGTCAAATACAATGGGTAGATATAAAAGTGGTAAGTACAAGAGTATACTCTAGTACTATAGTATATATAAAAAAAGACATTTACAATGTTACAAATTACAATCAGTATATACATTTACAGTTACATGGTGAAATGGCCGGAATAAATAGCATATAAGTTATTATCACAGTTCTAACAATTTCAATCACAGTCCATGAACTCTTCTATAGAATAGAATGCCCCAGTTGTGAGTATACTTTTTACTGCCTTCAAAAATTCATTTGCTTTTAAACACTTTATTCTTTCAGAAACTTTGTTGAAAAGTTTTGTACCCCAATAATCAACAAATTGCTGCGTACATTTTTTGGAGTGGTATGGTATCATTAGAGCGGCTTTGTTCCTAGTGTTAAAACCATGAAAAATGTGCTAGGTAAGTAAGTAAGTAAGTAAGTACTCTGTGTTCTCTAAAAATGCCTTTACAGGACTCTTTGGATCCCAAGCCAAACATGTTCGCAAAGCTCTTTTTTGCAGTTTGAGGACTTTTTCAGCTTCACTTGCTCTATCCCTTATTCAAATTCCATAGCCTAGGATACTGTGGAAATTTGAGTAAGTAGTATGTTGTTTTGAGGTCTTCTATAGAAACTACGTCTCTTAACTTTCGTAAACAGTACAAATGTTTGGAGAGTTTGTTGCAATTTTCAAAGTACGTATTCCAGCTCAGCCTGTTGTCTACAAATATTCCCAAGAATTTGACGCAGTGATTTTCGTTTTTTTGCCCAATGTAAAGTGTTTCTGTTTTGTCCTTGTTGACTTTAAGTCCATTAGCAGTGAACCAAGTCTCTGCTTCTGTTAGCACTTGTTTTTGGATTTCTAGTTGTTTTCCAGGTACTAATAATGAAGTGTCATCACAATACAGGCAAGTGTTTATGCTGTTTTTTCTTGAAAGTCATTTATATATATATATATATATATATTAGGGTGTCCCTTATTTTTTTTTTTTTCACGCATACCCCCTAATTATATTTATTACGTGTTTATATACTCCCAAAAAAAATTTTAGCTCATTCTATAAACGGGAACCCGTGCCGACTTGCATCTGAACCCTCCGTTAGCCAACGTCAGGAAAAGTATTGGTCCTAGAATGAAGCCCTGTTGAACTCCAAAATTGACTGGTAGTTCAGGTGGAATTCTTTCATTAGTAGAGAGATATTGAGTCCTATTGTCCAAGTATGATTTAAGAAGGTCTAGCATTGATCCTGTAAAACTATAAAAATTCAATTTTTTAAAAAGTAATTCCTGTGGGACAGAATCAAAAGCTTTACTCAAGTCTAGATTCAGCATGCTTAAACTATCACCCTGATCAAGGGTTTTGCTTATGATGTTCGTAACCGTAAGGAGAGCTGAAATTGTGCTTCTTTTTTCTCTATGGTAAGATGAAGATAGGTCTGTAATTCCCACAGTCTTCTTTCTTACCTTTTCCCTTATAATTGGGGATAACCTTTGCTTTTTTAATTCATTTGGGAAGTAGCTGTCATGAAACATTTTATTTACAAGGAGAGTTAGGGAAGGGATGATTTCCTCAGATATACTATTTAAAATGTTTGTACTTAGATATTGCTCATCCACACTGTTTTTTCCCTTAATTGCTTTAAAATTTGTGCGCAACTCTTTAGCTGAACATTCATACCAGTAAAAATACTTGTTATTATTTACTTTTAGGTTGTCTACAAGTTTCATAGCTTGATTCGGATCTGTCTTGAGGTCTCTAGAGAGGTTTTTACCAACATTTGCAAAGAAATTATTTAGTTCTGTTAGTGTAATAGTTATGGACTGATATTCCTTGGTCTTGTGTTCTCTGTTAATTACTTTCCATATGGCTTTTTGTTTATTGTTTGCTTTTGAGATGATTACAGTATTTTTTTGTTTTTTTAATTCTTATAATTTCATTTTTATAAAATTGTTTCTGTTTTGTACGCTACCTATAACTCAATAGTTTTTATTACCTGTGAAATGGTATATAAAGTTATAGTTCATTTTTTATTTTATTTAATTCCTCTGTTTTTCATGTCACTTTATCCACATATGTTTGAATCTTTTTCTTGATTATAGGCATACATTTGTTAATATTATCCAGAATACAGAAAATCATAAAAAGCTGTAAAGGCCTCTGGAGCTGACTTATTGTTTAAATACTTTACCCAATCCAGTTTGTAACTGCTTTTTTAGTTGGTATGATATTTATTTGTAAATACATTATCTAAGCAAGTTTGTGTGGTTTTCCTTATGTGTGAAGGTTCTCTGAATGTTTTATGGAGACTATAACTTTCCATTAATTTTGTAAAGTTTACTAGCTCTTTACTTTTAATCAAAAAGTTTATATTAAAGTCACCAGCTACAATAACATATTTTTTTAAAACTTAGTATTTAAGAATTCCAAGATTAACTTCATTTTAAAAATAAAAGTATCATGGTTTCCACTGGGTGCTCGATATATTGTTAATATAATAATATTTATGCTTGTAATAATGATCCCAGCTGCCTCTTTGTCTTTCTCTACAGAAAATGATTTAATTGCTTCAATTAGGTGTCGTAGAAAATATGGTGGAAAAGTGGTGCAAATACCCTATATCTACGCCACTGGATAGTTTAAGCAATTAAAAAATAATACTCAATGAGTACTCTCCAAATTTAGTCAAAATCGGTCAATAATAATAATATAACTGTTATCGTGTGACTTTTAATTATTTTGTTTAAAGTAAACACTCAAAAAGTTTAATTAACTGTATTTTATAAAACCGATTAACATTACAATGCAATTTTGCTTATCTCAAGTCAAAGTCATTTTTAATTGATGAGGGGACTATATACTTGTTTTCTTTAGTTCGGTTCGGTAGCAGCGAATTTGACAATCGGCGTCTTTCAAAAACATAGACAATACATTATAATAATAACAAATATGTAACAATAACGTTATAAAACCAGCGATAAGATGTTTTTCTAGATAAATGCAATAAAAAATTTGAAGTGTTAATTTGTTATCATTAAATTTTTGTTTTAATGTATAACTTTTATTGAATGCAACTATTTAATTGTTTTTGCAAAGCATGCAAATATTCCATATTTTAATCTTGTACTTAGGATTGCCAACCGTCCCGTTTTTTAGGAAAAGGAAGGCCAACGTTCCCGCAAAAGCGCAAGCCGTATTATATGCATATAATACATATTATATGTAACGGCATAGTTAAATTTTTTTAACATATTTTTTTGTGTCTTTGCGTCTTGCAAAAGATAACCTAAATGACTTTTTTTTATTTTTTGTTTGTTTTTAACTTGAATTTAATGTTTTAATTTATTTTCTCTACCACAAATATATTTATAATTAATACACTGTTATAAAAATCAGATTTGTTAACATGAGTTTGGAGTTTGTTTATTTAGACTAATTTTAACATAATTTTTTGTACAAAACCATGGTTTTCAATTATTTAAACAAAGGAAAATATTGTACGGAGAGTTTTGTAAAGCATTTTGTCAATTTCAAAAGTTAATGTTTAACAAATTATTTCTTTCAAAAAGTACACGTTATTTAAGGTAGCCAATCAAAACATTTCCCTCAACAATACGCATCAACAAGTTCAACTGACTTTAGCGTCTGCAACTTATGGTTCTGCTTACTTTATTCTAATTCGTAACGTAAGAACTGACGAAAGTGTCAAAAATTTCAAATACTTTCAGATCTACCTAACCTCACTTTCTATTTCCATAATTATTATTAAAATTGTACGTTTAATGTATCATTTAACAAATAAAATGGTGCCTTGTTCATAACATGTTGTCGGCTGAGAAGTGTCTTTTTGTGCTTCGCTTAATGTAGGCCTCCGCTACACGTCGGCCTTCAAACTTTAAGCTTACTACAAAAATAACTATTATTTATTTTTGTTGTCTTAACAAAAATCCCATTCTGAATGTCCTGCAAATTTAGAATGTGTCCCGCAATTTGTAATGTACTTTACCCGCTAAAGCTAAATTTGAAGTTGGCAACCCAACGTACTTAGTTTAATGTACCTATGATTGTAACTGTTTAATCCTTGCAATTTATTTATTTTAAAATGTAGGTATAATATTATTCTTAAAGTAATTTGATAAAATTAATTAAGTAAAGGCAGAAATTAAGTATTTTCGTATTTTATTTTGGTTTTAATGAATTATTACAATGATATAAAGGCTTTAATTCTTGGATACAGCAAAACCAACACGGTCATTTCCAAGGTCGTAGATTGAGTAGAATTTTCCAAGGAAGACATCACCAAGAATCCACATACCATTATTTATATCCATGCCCTCGAATCCAGACAAGCACACGGTCTGTCCTTGATTTTCGATCTTAAAAGAAAATATTTTTAAAATAACGCCTTCAAATTGGATGTATATACATCTTAACTTACTTTTAAGATGTAGTCTTTGCCCTCAAGAGTGAATTTTTTGCCGTTAATAACCCAGTTGATTTTGGGAAGATCTGGGATACGAGCGCAATCAACAAAAGCTTCTCCGCTCAATGTTACTTCGGCACCGATAGCCCTGTTTATTTTTCTGATATCTCTGGATGGTCCCGTGATAAGACTGGTACCAGTATCAGCGATGACTTGACAACCTAAACGGCAAACGCTTACTACATGTCCATCGATGCTCATACCTTCGACACGGAATTGCCAGTAGGCTTTTTTGTTTACATCGACCCAGGTAATCTCTCCTTCGTAGTGCGCAGGATCGGTACCTCCCAAAAGAATTTCACCACCCAATTCATCATCTGAATCTCTGTTGAGGTAGAAAGAGAAGACTGGTTCGTCTACGGCTCCTTGAGCCACCATGTTGTCAAAAACTGGTGTAACTCCATCGACAGAGTTGCTAGCGTAACCCATACCCAAAATACCATCGAATTTGGCTGAGATGAAAGTGGCACCTGGTTGTTTGATGGCTTCAGCGAAGGTTTGGTGTTTAGCGGACAAACCGGCAACCTATTTAAAAGCATTTTAGATCATAGATTAAATAATTTCAAAAAGTGTATTACTTACAGTGACTGTGTCAGTTGAGAGGAACCCAGTCATAGATCCAGTTCCGTATTGGATAGCGAAAGATCTACCATTAGCTTTGTAAGTGGATGATTTTTTGGAATCGTATTTGTTGTGGAGCTCTAAAGAAAATATATTTTTTTATAATAGGTAACAGTTTAAAAAATCAAAAAATTAAGCACTTACTGCAAGCAATATTGGACGATGGACATTTGACTGATGGAACCCACAAGTTTGAGGAGCCAGTATCGAAAATAACGGTGAAGTTTTGGGCTGGACTTCCAATGGAGATTTCTCCAAAGTATTGGGCCTTAAATTATAATGTTTGTTATAAAATAGTATTAGTATTGTTCAACTACTTAGAAATTTGGCCATTTCCATAAGGGTAAATTAATTTTTAAGAAAATAATGAACCACTGTATAATCGTCATAGTAATGGTAAATACTACCATGGAAAAAAATATCAATATTCTCCACAGCTTAAGACTGAGCCACTTTCTCAATTGAAAACGTATAGGAAATGTACAAATTCTTTAATATGATTAGAAAAAATATATTATTTAAAAAAAATTACATCCATGTAGTTGGTGAGTGGCTCAACCCCGGATCCAGATCTTAATTTGGAGTAACGCTCCTTGAGTGCTTCTCTATGTGGCCCAATTTGTGCAAGAGCATTTATGTCCAACCTATTTTTTTTTAAGGCAATCCTAATAAAACAGAAAAATGTTAACATGTGTAGAAAAAAATAACATTATGTATAAATAAGTACCTGCCCATTTTGGCTTCATGTTTGGCTGGCAAACAATTGACTGATACTGCCACCAAAAGCACTGTGAAAAGGAACAAACGAAACATTTTGAAGAATCGTCCTAAACTGATTTGAGTTTTTTAATCGTCTCCTTATATAGGTACCCACTTTAAATTTAAATATAAAATTAAGTATATATTTTTTATAATAAAATATTGCTATCTTAACCACTTTTGAAAAGGAATTTTTAGATATTTTTAATGAAAATTAAATCTTTATAATAGATAAAATACGAAATTCATTTATTGAGTATATTAAAATATTATCATCAATATAAGTATAATAATTATAATAATAAATATTATATGAAACTCAAATTAACCCAAAACTGAAATTTTATAAGTTGCAAAAATCCAAGCTGTTTTTCATTTCAAACCATCAAAGCAAGAATAATAAAAATCTTTTTCGAAAATTCACAAATTAAATAAAAATAAAATGCACATTTTTCCAAAAATAAAATTTTCACCAACTACAAAAAGTCAAAACAGTAGTTATTGACAGGCCCGTTCCTGGGGTGTCTGGCGCCTACGTGCAGCATTCTTTGGTGCGCCCCTTTTATATTTAAATATAATACATTAAATATTTTAATTTTGAGCCCTAAAATTTCCAAAATATATATTTAGCAACAAACTGGCAAAATGTACTTGAAAATGTAAAAAAACTGCTGAAATTGAGTATAAAAAATATTTATTAAATTATCAAACAAACAAAATCACAAAAAAATAGTTAGTAATAAAAATACTCTAGAGAAAACAGTTTTTTTTAAACCAAATAAACAATATAATAACTACAACTGGTTTTTAGTGACGTACTCTCTAAAAATGAATTAGTCAAAAATGACTGGTTTTTAAAGTGAAAAAGCATGCTTTTTCACTTTAAAAACCTGCAGTAACTAATACCTGCAGTCCACAGCAATTTGTATCCTGGATATTTAACAGCTTCTTATTATGTAAAATTGTCCCCTGAATCCAAAAAAACCGTCAAAAATTATGAAAGTAGAGCAGTTTTTGAGATATCGTATAATCCATATTATATGGAAATTTGACTATATCTCAAAAACTGTTCTATGTACTTTTATAAGCGGACAATTTTACATAGGATTTGACTGCTAAATGTCCGGGATGCAAATTGCTGTTGACGATAATTATTAGTGGCTGCTTTTTCGCTATGGCAATTGGTCATTTTTGATTAATTAATTTTTAGAGAGTACCTTTAGTTACAATGTCATGTACTGTGTAGACTACTGTTAAACTTTGCTACCGTCAAGTGCAACTATAAAACAAATACTAAAAATATTATGACAATTTCTTTCCTTTTATTTTGATACTTAAGTATTGTTGTATAGTATGTTGATATAATTATACAACAAAACTTAAGTCGCTAATATTAAAGCGGCAAAAGGCGCTTCATATATGAAAATTTTTATGTATTTTTAACATATTTCTTGTGTCCCAGAAAGTCCACTCAAAATTTTTTAGTTGCATTGACTTATTTCACTTATGTTAATTGATTACACAACATAATATGTAAAAAAAGTGAATATATCTTTTCTTTTTAACATAACTGCAAAGTTAATTTAACAAACAGGTTTATGCTATTTTTATTAAAATAAAATTGTTGTTTTAACATAAACCAATAGTTAATTTGATTTTAAATCTTTATAATTTTGACATAATTAAAAATGTTAAATTTATTTACACAAAAAAGTGTTACTTTAACATTTAAATTTTTGTTGATTTTACACTAATAATTTGTCCTTATAACATATATTAATTTGTTGTTTTAACAAAAATTTTAATTAACTTTTACAAAAATAATTGTGTTTTTTCATTTTACGGCCATTCCGGAAAAAAACGTGACGTCGGTTACTGTTTAAGGCAATATCTTGAGAAAAGCTTTTTTCATAAAAAACAAGGTGCATTTATAAAAAAAGCTTTTCTCAAGATATTCGCTTAAACAGAAACGGACGTTACGTTTTTTTCCGGAATGACCTTAAAATGAAAAAAAAAATATTTCTGTAAAATTTAATTAAAATAATTGTTAAAACAAATTAATATATGTAATATACTGTACGTACAATTTTAACAAGTAATCTCCGTTTGGTAAAACACTTATAAATTAATTAAAAAAATTGGACAAAAATAAAACAATTATATAAAATAGGAACATTTTTATTTATTAAAAATAAAACGTAACATTAATATAATATAAATATACCTTTAAATTTAGTTTAACAAATTAACACACCACAGATCACACCCTACGTACTCATCAAGCGACTGCTTTGACTGTCGAACTTCGACAGGCTTCGAGAACAAAAGGCCTTGCGGGGGGGTACCGGTCTTAATCGAAAGCAGGCGGTAATTAACGAATAAAGAAAACAACATAAATATTTTATTTACTTTAACGAAAAAATAATAATCAGTTGTTTAAATTTGAATAAAAAAAATTGTATCTCCAAATTTAACATATATTTTTAAGTTAGATTAACACTTGTTAAAGAGTCATTATAACTAATGTATTTTTATTATATTATATATTTTATTATCAAATATTAACATATTTTTTTGTAATATTAACTATATTATTTTATTAAAATTTACAGAAAATAATTATTTAACATTATTTTTTGTGTAAGACCTTTTAACAAATTTATTTTTGTTAAATTTTAGAATTTTGATTATTTTAATTTGTATATCAAGTAACATATATTGTTTATGTCATAAACATTAAAAAGTTTATGTAAATTTTTACATATTTTATTTAACACACATTATTTTTAACACACATTTTATAAATTTTCAACAGTGTAGCGGCCGAAAAAAATGGCGGCAACCTTTATCCTATATATGTATATAAGTATTTGTTTATTTGCAAGAGAGTTAACCGTTACAAAGTACCGATTGACTCTTTGATTTTGCGCCCCCAAAATGTTGCGCCTGCGTGCGTGCACGCAATGCACGCCCGCCAGAAACGGCCCTGGTTATTGAGTTAAAAAAATATAGTTTTTCCGGAGAGATTTATATTTTTATGTAGGATAGAATTTAAAATGATAAGATAAACAGATTATTTAAAGCATATTTAAAAATATGGCGAACGTCAAGGAAACAACAAAAAGTAAAAAGGGACCTAAGCAATTCTAATCATTGGCGTATTATTGTTGTATTTTGAAGTCGCGCTACGAGCTTTTAAAGTTAAATACTACAGTAGGTACTGTATACGTTTTTTACCATTTTTCGAAATTTCTCAAATTTTTTCGCCGACAACATCTTGTAAATTTCCCGCTAGGTTTATTGTTAGTCTCTTATTTGTGTACCGAGAATAGTCTAATAGTATATGTCTTACACTTATTTGAATACCACATAAATTGCATAAAAGAGCCTCTTTGCCTTTTAACAGGCGTTATTTTTGGTTGTCCTATTGGAAGTCTTGTTAATATGACCTGGTATTATCTGGTGGGAGCAGCTCGCCAGGGTTTTATGCATTTTTAGCTTGGTTAAGCTTAGTATCTTAATTATTCCAGTCCTGTTGCCAAGTGTTAAAAATTTTTAGGACCTTGTTTTAAGTCGTAAAAGCTTCTTCTTCTTTCGATTATGAAGTGGTCTGAATTAGTTTCGTTGCCTGGATCCAAATAAATTGAACTAGTTGATTTTGTTGTAATTTATGGAGTTCTACCATTGATTAATATACTCCCTCACTCAACGGTTCTACCTTGATTTGCTGTAGGATGTTTTGTTTCGGTTATTTGTTTGTTTTATGCCATGGATAGAGCTTAATCGGTGAAAATTAAAGATCCCTTTATATTTTTAATTCATACATTTATTTTTATGTATGTAAAATTTTGTAAGGGGGTTAAACTGGTTTAGGTGCTATAGCATGCTATAGCAACTGTCACCCCTTTTCAATTTTAATTTAAAGATAACTTTAGTCCTTGGACGAACCCACGGGCTGAAATTAAGAAATAAATAATCAGGGAATACATTATTTTGTCCACGAAATTATATACTCCTTGCGGTTATGAGTAATGTAATTTAAAATTGGAGAAATTTGGCGATTTAACTCTTTCCCTATTATTTATTTAGATTATCTGAAAAGTTAGGTCTATGTAAACCATTCTGAAACAATTCAACAACTTATAAATTTAAATACTACTGGTTTGGTACTGTTTAATTTTACTAAATAAATCATTTAATCTTGACAATACAATTCTTTAATATTAGAACCAATAAAATGCCAGTATTCCATATTTACGTATTTTATCACAGCGACAATATTTTTTATCACCTTTTTTACACGTTACTAAGGATTTTAACACTTTTCTAGATTTGACATTTGTTGACATTTAATTCCTGTGTTTGTTATATGATTAAAATAATGAATTATAAACTCTAAAAGATCGATAATTAAATTAGGGCAAGTTTAAATAAATAAGGTTAATTAAAGTCTTTTTATATATTTTCCTCCGGAAGTAAACTGGATTTAACTTAATTTCGGGTAGAGGCCACCGTGGAGAGCCCATAAAAAATGTTTTCACTTTCACTGTTATACAGATTTCCAAGAATGTCTACTCTATTGTTTTATAGATGGCGCTCTATACAAATATTTCATTTAAATCATTTATAAAAATTTTATGCAATAAAATTTAATTTTTTGGGGTCAATGTTCTTATAAAATTGCTTTGTTTAAAAAAAAATTCCTGTTATTAAATAATTTAAATTTTTGTTTAGGTAATGTTCGAAATTTTGCGTTATTAAATGTCAATATGTTTTTTGAATTAACTCAATTAAGCTATTTTTATTATATTTTTTGAATATAAGTTAAAATAATTTTTTAAAATGTAAGTTTATAAACTTTTAAAGTACTTTTTTTAATACCAGGTACCTACTAGAAATAAAATTATTTGTCGGCTGAGAAGTGTTCGCTTTACATACGTTGGCTACAAAAAGACAAACTTCCTTGATGACATAAATAACTATTATTTATTTTTGTTGCCCCCTACTCTAAATGTCCCGCAAATTTAGAATTGAGAATTTATGTTTTTCGCTCG